TCTGCCCCTCCCCTGTTCATGCTCAGTCTCTCTCTGTCTCAAAAATAAACGTTAAAAAAATTTTTTTTAATTTATTTATTTTTGAGAGAGAGAGAAAAAGAGGGGCAGAGAAAGGGAGAGAGAAAGACTCCCAGACTCTGTGCCCTCAGTGCTGACCCTGACATGGGGCTCAACCCCACAAACCATGAGATCATGACCTGAGCAGAAACCAAGAGTTGGATGCTCAAACGACTGAGCCACCCAGGTACCTCTACTTTTCCTTCTGCCAGGTTCCCCAGCTGTATCACTGGCAGGGGAAAATATTTTGTACTCAGCTCTTAACCTTGTGTATGTTATAAATGTGGACTCCAAATCACATATGGTGAAGGCTTAAGGTTTTGGTTTCTTCCAAACATTCTTCCCCCTCACAAGCACCTTGTCGTTTGTCAGGCTTGCTGAGCACAGCCTGTTTCTTCTTCACTGAGAGCGTCAGCCACTGAAGGCTCCCAGTCTTCTGCAGGACTGTCGGTGCCAACATACTGCCTGGTACGGGTCTCAGCACTTGACCCTGCTGTGTGGGTGTGGGGCTCCATCTCTGAGCCTGAATGATGAGAAGGGAAGAGCCATGCAAATGGAAGCATATTCATGACTGGGGAAGGAAGCATGAAGGCTCTGCATGCGGCTCTAACAAAATGACATGTGGAAGGAACAGCAAGGCAAGTGTGAGTGGAGCTGAGATGGTGGCAGGTGAGGCCATCAAAGGCTTCTTTCCAGCTCCAAGAGCACAGTACAGGGGGGCTAGATGTCAGAACTGGTGGGGTAATCTCAAGGCAGTTTAGTGATTTTTTTTCTTCTTGGGCAAGTTTCTGTTTCTCATTTTTGTATTAAGAAATGCCACACAAAGAGATGTTCAGTTATGCAAGGGGATGATGCTCCCCAATGAACCATGACTCCTGGTATTTTTGTCCTGTGTTATCTCCTCCCTTAACATCTGGTATGGATCTACAATTTGCTTTAAGTAGTGGAATGTGGTAGAAATTTTATTGTGCCAGTCCCGCTATGGTGTGGCCTCAGGTATCAAGTGTAGGATCGTGTGTGAGAGAGAGAGGGACTGAGAGAGAGAAGACAAAGACAGAAAGAGAGAGAGACTGAAAGAGAGAACCAGAGGCAGAAAGCTGAAGAGACTCAAAAAGAAAATTTTCTTGAACTAAAAAGCACAAATTTTTTTTAAGTCAAGGGGCATCTGGGTGGCTCAGTCGGTTAAGCGTCCGACTTCGGCTCAGGTCATGATCTCACAGTCCATGAGTTCAAGCCCCATGTTGGGCTCTGTGCTGATAGCTCAGAGCCTGGAGCCTGCTTCAGATTCTGTGTCTCCCTCTCTGCCCCTCTCCTGCTTGCATTCTGTTTCTCTCTTTCTCAAAAATCAATAAACATAAAAAAAAGGTTTGTTGTTGTTACTGTTTTTTTAAACTCTCATTTGTTTTCTTTATCACTCCTCTCAACAGCTTAGAAACCTCTAGTTTAGAGTTGGGAGCTACAGAGAAAGGGGGTGGTTTCCCTCCCAAGCCCGTCAAAAGGCTGACGCGGCTGCTGACCACAAACTCTGTCCAAGCATCAGATGGGGCCAGGGCTACAGGTGCAAACTTAAAACAGACCATTCCCATCCATTCTACTGTAAGTAACCAAACATGTAAGTGGAAACCACAGGGGCAAATGTGTCACTCAGGTGCAGTGTTCTGGGTCCCACCGTGTTGCAGAGAGAGCAGGGAGGATGGAATGACTAGTGTTCCCTACTGGAGTGGCAGGCTATGTCTCAGCTTTGAGCAGCCCACTGATAGATATTTACTGCTGAGATTCCTTCTACCCTGGAGGGTCCTCCTCCCCAGTGGCCAAACCCCAGGATAGTAACTGAGCTACAGTGACTCTTTAAGGCCAAAAAAACCTTAAGATACACCCCCATCAGGGGATAGGGGGTTTTCATTATCAGGATGTTTGGAAAAAGACAAGGAAGTTGAAGGCAGGAGTCAACATTTCCCAAAGTTCTTTCTTAAAATACACTGTGTTTGGTTTCAGGGCTGCTGACTCACCCCCCGTCCGGGCATCCGATCTCGGGGCTACTATATTCCCCAGAGTGCCTGGGGAGACCAGCTCATTTCCCACCTACAGTATCCACAGAAACATCTGCTTTAGCTTATTAGAGAGTCAAAACAAGCAACTGTCAACTCATCACCATCTCCACTTGAGGACACATTCCTCTTGGCTGACGCACGCCCCTCCCCAGCCCCCCACCCTGACTGCCTGCATGTCTTAGACTGTGAGCTGATTCTGATGATAAATGGAAGAGCCTCTTATATCCTCGTTTATCTAACCTTCTCACACGCATAGGAAGACTTCTCTCTGGGGAATCAAGGAACAACTTCTGACTCATCAGATAAGCAGTAGGCCCTGGAAACAGGAAGCAGAAACCGGGCTCTCCAAGCCCCTTCCATTCCCTTCCCTTCCTCTGCAGGTAACTGCACTGTGGAAAGCAGTCTGGTTTTAGAGCCAGCAGACCCAGGTTCAGCCAGCAGTCCTGCCTGACACTGTGGGACCTAAGACAGGTTCCTTAGCCTCTCGGGGCCTCAGTGTCCTCTTCCATAAAATGGGAACAGTATTACCTATCCTGCCAGCCATGCAGGGATCTTATGTAGTCCAAAAGTAATACGGGGTAGGAAGCATCCTAAAAAAGAGTCTCTGATGCTTAAATTTCCTCCTATAATCACATCACCCATAATCTACTCTTGAACCTGTTCTGTGATGAGGAACTCATTCCCACAGACAGTCTAGTGCACCATGGGATAGTTCTAATTTCTTTTGAGCTGAAAACTGCCTCTTTTGGCATTCTACCAATTGGTTCCTCTCTAGGTGGGTATACAGAAACAAGTTGAGCCCTCTTCTGGAACAATTGCTTTCAGCTATCTGGAGGTGTACCTCACCCTGATACTGACAAAGCAGCCCCCAAGCCTCCTCCCCACCAGGCTAAGCCTTTGAAACCCTCCCTCACTGTCATGGTTACTGTTCTCCAAAGGCACTTCAGGTAAGTTATGACCCTTAAGTGTCTTGTCCAGAACCGAATCTGGTGTTCAGGATGGCCTGAAAGGGGGAGAATGAGCTGGGACATTCACCTCTCTTGTTCTAGACACTATGCTTCTATTAATGCACTTGACCCCCAGGTGCTCTGGTGGTTATATCTCAATAGAAACACTTCCTCTATAATCTCAGTTGTGAGCACCTAGCTTTCTGATTACCACCTCCTTTGTGGCCAGCTCATTTGATCTTTTACCTACCTCAATAATTCTTAAGCCCCATTAGGACTTACTATCCCTTGATCATGTCACTATCCCCTATTCTCCTCTGCCCCTGCCATGTCCTCATGTCCCTTCTTAGCATAGACCTCAGGACACATCATTATAATCACCCCCCTTGAATACACTCACAGTTCTCTTTTTCTCTCTTGCCTATCAAAATCCAACCTTGACTAAATCCTACTTTCTGCCTCTTCCTGTCCTGTATCCAGATAGCTGAAACTAGCCAGAGGAAAAAAAAAACACAGAAATAGGTTAAATTCATGACTAGTGATTTGTGGGGGGCCATGGGGCTGTCCAGCAAGCATCCTCACGTACCCTAGTTTGGACATTTCAGGTCATACCTTCTCTAGCCTTAAACCTCCACCACCTCTGCCCCATCCTTACTCTCTGTGGATGACCTTGTCCTCGGTTAGTGGACCTTCTATCCCCAGCCCCCACCACATCTACCCACCTACCCATGCCTGTGCCTCTCTGTCCCTGTGGATGGGCATCTGTGCGCTCATCTAAAGGTAAGCTCTTCAGGTGTGCACCAGACTCTCACCCTCTTGCTTACTTGGGAACTTTGGACCCCACCCCCCTGACCCCACACTCCATTACTAATTTCTGCTTTTCTACAGGATCATTCACATTCCATATAATTACAGTATTATTTTCTTTCATCTTAAAAAACAAAAAACACAACAATAAAATGCTTGCATCTTATCCCCTCATAGGTACCAGATGAGGAAAGTTAAAAGCTCAGGAACCTATTCAATGACATCATAGACCTAGAGGAGATGGGGTCAAGAGTCAGATCTAGTTTTCCTGCCCCCAAAGCTGCAGAGGCCAGAGCAGCTCTCTTCCCAGCCCACTGCTTTGCTCTGAGCAGCTGAGCATAGGCAAGGGAGTACTTTGCCCCAGATGCCCAGTCCAGCTCTGCCATGACCTGGGCACTCTTGGGACAGCAACAAAGGCTGGAGGTTCTCAAGTGACTAGGGGACCTGCGGGGTCTTCAGGGGTCTGCCCAGCTGCTGAAAGTCTGTCTTGACTGACTTGCCTGTCAGACTATACATGGGTGGGTGGAGAGGCTATTTCCAGAACTCCATCCCAGGACCATGCCAGCCACAGCAGGGCGTGTGGGTGGCTGTGATGGCACACAGATGGGGCAGGTGAGGGGGGCTGAAGCCACCAATATCACATACCCCAGAGCACAGATGACACCTCATAAATTCTGCAGGCCCATAGCCGTGTGACCTGCTATGGTGGTTCATTAATGCTGCCTGGTCCTCACGTACAGGTGGAAATGATGGCTGGTGTGGCAAGCTGCCTTCCCAAGCCAGTCTGTCAGAAGGGCACACTTCTTTTCTCCACCACTCACTACATCCCTGTTCATGCCAAGAGCCCAGAACAGCTCAGCAAAGGGGTTTTCTTTCTGGGACATCGGGCACTTAGGCTCTCAGTCATCAACCCTCTTCCCTCTCCCCTCTGTTCTCAAAGAGTCTCCCACGGAACAAACCCAATGGCTTTGAGTCTTCCAGATACACGGGGTCAAGTTGCAACTTTCAGAACACTCAGAAAAGCATGCATCTCCTGCCTCTTGTTTGTGCATCTGCTGAACAGTCAGATACGGTGTTGGCCTGATCCAGACCATCTCCCAAGAGTCCTTTTTCAAAAGGAATAAGCTGACCCACTTACTTGTCTGTCACAGCCTGCATGAACTCGTCCAGCAGGTCATCGTACTCCTTCCCACGCACACGCTGGTGTTTCAACCCAATGTACAGGGGGTCTCTGAGCAGCTCCTGGAGAAGACAGCATCCGTTTGTTCAACTGTCCTGGTTTAGTGGGAAGGACCAGGGAGAGGGGGCGGAGGGAGCTGGACGCTGGCTGCCCGACCTGCCTCGCCAGGTGTCATCCCTAGAAGGGTCTGGAGGCTAGGCCACTGACTGAGGTGGGACTCCTAGATGGTTCCAATGTTAGGAAACAAGGATGCTTTGACACAGAAAATCCTCTCTCAGATGTGGTCTTCCAACCCCTGGCTGCAGGTGCTCTGGTTTTTTTTAATTAAAAAAATGTTTATTTATTTTGAGAGAGGGAGAGGGAGAGAATGAGCCAGGGAGGGACAGAGCCCAAACAGGTTCTGTGCTGTAAGTGCAGAGCCGGACGTGGGGCTCAAACTCATGAACCATTAGATCTGACCTGAGCTGAAATCAAGAGTCGGACACTTAACCGACTGAGCCACCCAGGTGCCCCTGCTCTGGGTTTATTTCAAGGTTTCCCAATACTGGCACTATTGACATTTTGGCTTGGAATTCTTTGATGAGAGGGCTGATCTGCACATTGTAGAATATTTAGCAGCATCTCAGGCCTCTATCCATTAGAAGTCAGTAGCACCCCCAGTTATGACAAGAAAAAATGTCTCTAAACACTGCCAAACATCTATTTGGGGCTCTAGACAGCATCTGGATTGAGGTATTGGGTCTCGTCCAAAGTCACAGATCTGAATTCAAATTAGAAAACACTTTATTCATTCAAAAGAAATCTCACTGAATACCTACCACGTGCCTGGCACTGTGCTAGTCCCTGAGGGTACAAGGATACAATGATACAACCAGACATTTCCGCTCAAGAAAGATGTCCCCCTGCGGAATACCTCCTGTGTTAGGGGTCCCCCCATTCCACCTCTTGCAGCTCTTTCTGTCACAGCCCTCACACACTCTGGTTATCTTCTGTGTCTGCCACTGGCCAACTTCCCACCTCTTCTCTAACCCCTCACACACACACCCTACACAATCAGTGGACCCGATCATGCACATTTACTGCCGGTCTGTTACTGCTGACACTGGGCCCTCCTGGGGTCTGTAAATGAGTAAGGAGTGGTTGTTGCCTTCAAGGTGCTCACCGTCTACTGCAGGGGGCTCATGAGTAAACAAACTCTACTACAGTGAAGAGTGACACTGTTTTGGCACTAAGTCTGGCACATGGAAGCACAGGGAAGGAGTAAAGTAATTCCCACTGGGGGATAGGCGGTGACTGTCATGGGGGAAATAGTCGAGCATTAAAAGACACAGTGGGGCTCCTGGGTGGCTCAGTGGGTTCAGCATCTGGCTTCTGCTCAGGTCACGATCTCACGGTTTGTGGGTTCAAGCCCCACATCAGGCTCGCTGCTGTCAGTGCAGGGCCTGCTTCACATCCTCCGTCCCCCTCTTTCTCTCTCTGCCCCTTTACCACTCACGTGCTTGCACACTCTCTCAAAAAACAAAACAAAGATGGGCAGATTTTGACAGGCTGGGCTCTCCAGGTGGAGTCAGCATAGGGAAGGGCTGGGGGCTGGAGGCAGAAGGAGGGAAAAGTGCCTGGTATATTCAGGAAACAGTAAGTGATTCTGTGTGTGAGCGTCTCCAGAAGTTTTGTGTCTGCAGCACCAAAACTATGAGCTCCTTGAGGATAAGCATCATGTTACGCTCATCTCTGCATTGTAGGATGCAGAGATAAGGACCCCACAGTCCTGACCTCAAATGGAAGCTCCCCCCCACCCCGCCCCAAATCTGACCCCCATCACAGACTAGCCGTGACCTTGGGCAAATCACAGGACCCCTTGGACCTGTCTTCTCATTTGTCAAAAGGGAATGAGACGCCAGCTGGAAAGTGTGCTTATGATGATTAAAAGAAATAATGTCTGTGAGAGAGCTTTGTGAGTTTTAACATACGCCATAAAGTGATGACAGCAGCTTTAACTTTCACAGCGCTTCGTATGTGCCACATGCTAAGGAACATTCTAAGTATGCAATTCTCCCCTAAGAGGTGGGACATCCACAGAGGTGTGTGGCTCAGAACTCCCTTAAGAGAACCTGCTGAGGAAGAGGAGTTGAGTGGACAGCCTTCAGCTGCCATGCTGTCTCTGGGCTGCTCCCAGCCATGGCCACGCACAGCAGATGCCTGGCCAATGCTGGGCCAACCCTCTGTGCAGGCAACCCGGGCTTGGGTTTTCCATCAACCTTCCTGAGGCTTTCCCAGGACCACACTGCAGACTGGGATCTTCTTAATTAATTCATAGAGACAGAGTGCAAGTGAGGGAGGGGCAGAGAGAGAGGGAGACACAGAATCCGAAGCAGGCTCCAGGCTCTGAGCTGTCAGCACAGAGCCTGATGTGGGGCTCAAACTCACAAACCATGAGATCATGACCTGAGCCAAAGTCAGACACACACCCGGGCTGGGGTCTTCTGACTGAGGTCTCCTTCCTTCCTTCTCTCCTTTCAAGGGGGTCAGATCTACACTGTAGCCTGAAGGCCCCACCCACTCACCAGCTGCTCCTGCTTCCCCCTTTATTCTTCCTGGGTGTTCCCCAACAAACCTTTCACACCTCTGTTTCTCAGAGGATCGGGTGCACAGACCTCAGGCTGGTAAGTGGAAGAGTCAGGACTCAAACTCAGGCTGCCTGGCTCCAGAGCCCACGGTCCTCCCCACAGAGCCACAAAGCTCGGGCAGCTCTTTTGCACATCCACCAGAATGGAGTTATTTTTGTTAAAGACACTGCTCTAGACCCATACTGTCTTGAGAGTGCTACAGACGTGGTTATGCAAAAGTGTAGGGGACAGACAAGACTAGGCAGGAAGTATCTGCCTTCCTAAACCCTCAACCCCGATCCCAAGTGCACACAACCCAAGGTAGGTGTAGAGCTTTCTGCAAAGCACCACAGTCTACATTTAGCAAGAGGGTCAGCCCTATCCTTCGACTCTCACTCTCTTCACCTCCAGATTATACCTCCCTGAGACAGTTTAGGATTCTGCCCTGGCAGGCATGTGTGTTTATTAGACTAAAGGATGACGGTGGGCATTCAGGTGCCCACCCTTCACGTGCCACCTTCAAGGTGACCCTGAAAAAGCCACTTAGGGGCAGGAAACATCCAGCCAAGGGCACACCATAAAGTAAATGTTGTGAGGACTTGATGGAAAGCTAGACAGTCATTAAAGTTAGTGGTTTTTAAAACTGTGCAGCCACCTGGACAAATGTGGTTATTTAATGAGGTTATTTAAACCTTTTTTTTAATGTTTATTTTTGAAGGAGAGAGATAGAGCATGAGCGGGGAAGGGGCAGAGAGAAGGGGAGACAGAGAATTTGAAGCAGGCTCCAGGCTCTGAGCTATTAGCACAGAACCCAACACGGGGCTGGAACCTTCGAATCGTGAGATCATGACCTGAGCCGAAATCAAACACTCAACTGACTAAGCCACCCGGGCACCCTGTGTATGAGATTATTTTAAGTGAAAAGAGCAGGATATAAAAGGGCACAGATGTAATTTCAGCTATCCGAAACACATATACACACACGCACACACACAGCCCTGAAGGGCATACACATATAGAAACAGTATAATTCTCAGCATCTGCAGAAAAGACTCACAGTTTTAGTTCTTATACAGACTTAAAGGGTCCAGCAGTGAGTTACAATCTGTAACGTTGCCAAAGTGAAGATTTGAATCACTGGTACTATCAGGCAGCGAAAAGTGAGTTTCTCAGTGCTGTGTGTGTGGTTTGTGGGGCAAGGCAAATTCTCCAGAGGTACTGAATAATTTTAGGATTTTCCAAAACTTTCTCAGTATATCTATGTTTAGAATCAAAGGTCAACCAAAACGAGGTACTACTGAGACATAAGAGTGACTACGAAAGCTTTAGAAGAGTCTTTATATTTTGCTTTTATATTAAAATGTTTTATGCCTGAAATACTTCCTAAGCACACACAAAAAATTGGAAATAAAGTTTCTATATGGAGATAATACTGAAATATAAATACTGAAAATATTTGTATAGAACTTTCAAGTAATTTACTACTGAATCAAAAGTAATTCGATCCTCTGTCTTACCTATTCTCATCCCCATTTCACAGATGAGGAAGGTGGACAGTTTACGGAAATTGCCCAAACGCACACAGCCAGAAAGCAGCTAAGCCTTGCTTTGACTGGACCTCATGACTGTGTCCCTTCTCCCCAATATTCCATGTAGGAGGGGAACAGCTGACCTGGGGGTGGCTTGTCCTCTGCCTGGTCCTCTGGAGGAACTCAGCAGTGGCTGGGAAGGTCAGGCTATCATCCTGCAGGTGAGGCCGGGGAGCAGTGATGGAGTCCCCATCACTAGCCAGCTGGATCTCCTTTGGCAGGAGGGGGAATGGCTTCTCCAAAACAGCACAGGGTGGAGCACTCACTCTGTCCTGGCACACCATGAAACAAGAAGTCCATATTCTGCCCTCTGTCCCACTGAGTAACTTACCTGTAACAGTGGCTGCCAGCAAGGCGTGGGGCTGTAACTGACCTGGACTCTCTCCTTGCACCTCTCCTCTATCCTTCACTTCCTTACATACGTGTTTAGAAGTTTTCAGTAGGTAGTATTGCCAGAAAAAATACAGAACGCCTACTTCAACTTGAATTTCAGCTAGGCAATAATTTTTTCTTTTAGCCTAAATATATCCCAAGTGTTGCAAGGAACATACATGGAACACAGGCCAAAATATGATTAGCTATTTACCTGAAATTTAAATTGAATTGGCATCGTATATTTTTCTTTGCTAAATCTGGTAACCCCAGCAAGAGGGGCAGAAGGGATCTTGAAGCTGGGAGGCAGTGTGCTGCATGCAGAGCAAAGGGCACTGCCGGGCTGGGTGGTACTGGTCAGGGTGCTCCCTCTGAGCGCCCTCAGTCTGGTCTGGCTTTGGCATTAGACCAGGGTTTGAATTTAGGCTCTGCCACTTAGGTCTATGACTTTGGGGGTTTCTTGGAGACAAAATGTCATGGAAAACAAAATGGGTT